ACGGTGACAAAAGAAAATAAAGAGAAACAATGATGTGGCAAATTTGCTCTTGAGATGTGATAAAAAAAAATCAAAAAAAAAAAACAAAAAAAGAAAGAGAAACAATGCTGCCAGAAATTTGCCCTTGCCATGTGGCCCAAAAAAAAAAAAAAAAAAAAAAACAATGTTGCTGCTGGAAATTTGCTCCTGCCATGTGGCTGCTTACATGGCAGCAGGTGATCCCGTATGTAGAATTTCGTTAAGTCTGTTAACAGAGTTACGTGGGGTAGACAAAAATGAAACAGTTTTAAAAATTAATAGATAATTTTAAAAGAAATTAAAGTATTTAGACTAAAATGTAAAAAAAATAATAGTTAATAAATGATTTATTAAATTAAGCCTACACAATCCATACAATTCATTTTTCTTCATGTCACATTCACGTAAAACTAGTACAAATAAATACTGTTATTTTCAATTTCCTTACATGAGAGTTAAAACACTACAAGTCATATAAATATAGATATATATATATATATATACTTTCTTTATTTTAAAATCACTGTTATTTTTTAATTTTTAAATTATTCTAAATTAATTATTATCTTTTTACTTTTTAAAATAGACAAATAATTTCTTTTTTCCTTCAACCCTATCATTATCCACTTCCTTTAAAGTCTATTTATATCTTTTATTTTTTTAGAATATTATAAATAAACATACAAATATTGTTCAAAATTCTTAATTTGAAGAAACAATTAAGAAACTTAATTTAGAAAAAAAAAAGAAAAAATAAAAATTATTTTTAAATGGAGAAAATATATGAGTTTTCAATTATATTATGAGTTTTGTAGACTATAAAAATTGAATTATTAGATAGAAGTACCTTTTCTCATAAAAAACCTCTTTTAACTTAAATAATTAATATTTCACAATTCATATAATTCAAATTATAAAATATTTTTTTATACGTTATATATATATTTCTCTATTTTATTTATTCTCAAATTCTTTATTAGCAATTTCATTCACGCTCAATAAGTAATACTTATCTTTATTTGTCTAATTATTTTTTATGAATTGGAAAGTCAAAACGAACTCTCGGAATGTATATATTTTTTTAAATATTATTCGTCTATTTCTCTCTTTTCACCAACCATTTTTGTTTATTTTTCTTTCTTTTGGAAGTGGAAATTAATTGAGAGGGGTTTATAAAATTAAAAATATGGAAGATGAACTTAAGATTGAAGATCCATGGGAGTCTAGGTGTTGATTGTAGAGAAGTATAGAACCTGATTCACCTCATTTGTTGTCCATTGATGATGTTAAAAGAGAAGTACAAGATAATACAAAGCTATTCAGTAAATATTTAATTTAAGTACAATAATCAAATCGAGCTCTAGTCTCATCTTTAAATTTTTAACCAATTAGTTTGAAATATTATTGACGAATTTTTGCAGTGGTTGAATATGGAGGTCCATCCTTTGTATAATGATAATTATATTTTTTTCTTAGGAATTAAAATAAGTGATTCAAGTGCGTAAAAAAAGGGTAAAACAGGGATGGGAGGAAGAATGCTCAAGTTATAGGCAAAAACAATCTTTTATACCCTGAGTCAGTGGCCGAAACCTTGATCAAACCTTGATAAAATAAGGATTATCTCGTATGAGTTGCATCTTCAATTCACATGGAGATTGACATATTTTCATTAATATTTTTTTAAATTGATAGAATTATACTCTAGGGACAGAGCTACCATAGGAGGCGGAAGTTTTCGAAAAATATTTAATATAGTACCACTACAAGAATACACAAAATTACCAATGAAATACCATGTTGGAAATCAGGAGGGAGTTTGTCGGTAAATAAATTTTCCAACTTATACTTTGTCGGTAATACACTTGTCGGTGTTGGCTTCCTCGGTAATAACTTCACCGATGTGAGATGGAGTTACGTCGGTAATTTGGTCCAAATTACCGACAAAACACATGTCTCAAAACAACTACCGGAACCGTACTGCCGGAGCTTCTCACGTAAGTCAAGGTGTCAATTACCGACGAGTTTCACGTCTCTAACTGTAGACCTCGTTTACTGCGTCCTTGTGTTACCTCGTTTATTGCATCCTCGTTTATTGCATCCAGTCAGCATGTCAGTAAGTTACCGACAAAGAATTAATCGGTAAGTTGGTTTAGAAATTTGTAAAAGAATTGCCGATTTACAAGAATTAATTGTTATTTACCGACAAACTTCCAATCGGCAATTACCAAGGAAAAAAAAAAATTTGCATTTTACCGACAAACAATTAATCGGTAAGTTTGTTTAGAAATTTGTGAAAGTATGGCCGATTTACAAGAATTAATTGTTATATAATTTACCGACAAACTTCCAATCGGCAATTACCAAGGGAAAAAAAAAATTTGCATTTTACCGACAAAGCTTTAATCGGTAATGTGGTTTAGGAATTGAAAAAAAAAAA